AAATCCTTTTTCTTTCTTTCTTTTTTTTTCTTATCCTCAACAATTTAACTAATTATTATAAAATCAAACTGAATTACTCACTGGTACACATACCCTTGTCAGAGAACAAGGGCCAATTCTTCCCGGTTTTCGTTTTCGTCGAGGCGCAACGTGAAAGCGGTCCACGCCCCTCGCCAACAATTAAACAATTGTCGGCATCGACCCACTTCCCAAACAAGCAAACGAATCCTCGCGCCTGTCGAACAACGCGCGCCACTGTTCGTCACGCGAAATAAAAGGCATCATGCGAGATCCTTTCGAATCAAGATTCGAACGTCGGCTTATATGGCGAGACATTTCGCCGTATAAAGGCGTACGTCGTCCAGGATTGCACGGATCTTCCTCGATACATCGACCTCCAGGAGGTCGTATCGAGGAGAGTAGTTGGTGAATTCGAAGGATGTGGCTATACGGCTCGTGTTTGCTTATCAAGATTCTCCCCTGTTCAACGATCTACTTTATATAAGCGACGAGTAAAAGTGATTGGTTCATGAAATGATTGGATCGGTGTGGTATTTGATAATATTAATAAGAAAGAGATGTTGGCACAGAAGTCGAGATTGGTAAATTTTTCGTTTCTGATGAAACATTGAATATTATTTTTATATTTGAATATATAGATTGTGTATGAATGAATCGAGAAACTTAGAGAACGATGCAAAATATTCCTCAGTTTTGAAAAAGAAACACTGGTATCGATGAATTATTAATGTTCATAAATCAATTGTATAATATGAGAATAATTTGTGTGAAATAAATAAAATTATTTTTTCATAACAAAACTGTTAACTGAATCATAGTAATTTAATTTATTACATATATATCATAAATATATAAATCATAAGAAAATATAAATCTGTAAGCTTAGAATGAGAATGATGTAAAATATTTTTGAAAATATTTCACATTTAATTATTTAATATTACTATAATATTTTGTATTTGTATTTACCTTAATATTATATTAATTATTAATAAAATCCTATAATAATGAATAAAAGAAAAATTAATACACCCTTAGTACTACATTCGATAATCTCTTTAAATGAAAAAAATCAAAAATCTTTGAAGCGAGCAATGGCATATCTCAAATTCCTTATGACAAAGGTATCCCTTTACTGTTATAATGGACAGATACCTTATGAATATTCACGTCACGTCTTTTCCATTAAATAACGATTAACGAGTTAACATCTCGTAACGAGACTTAGCCGAGATGAGATTTCGGTCATCGGTGCTATTGACCTCCTTAACGACACTAAGCAACTGACCGCTTCGATGAAAGTTATAAGAAAGTGATGGGAAACTTTAGACAGTGAGGCTCACGTGAGTAACTCATGATGTCATTAGAGGGGTCAAGAACTTTCTCAAAATGTTCGATATTAACCTGTTCAAATCACGACCGTGTGAATCTTCCGGCAATAAGGCCAACGTTTTTTTCGCTTCCACTCCTAATCCTCGATTCACAGATTTTTATTAAAATATCTATGAAAATAATCTATGACAAATCAATTTCATGTATCCATAGATCGTCGATTAGCTATTATTGTTCAATTATTACAGTCAATACTTTATTCTAATCTTTTTCTTCTAATATTTTTCAATAACTAGAGAGAATCACTAGTAATTTTTTTAAATATATATATTATTTCATCATTTTCTACTGAAAATTCTTAATTTAAATAAGATTTCATTTATTATTATTATTATTTTTATCAATATAAATAATAATTGAAATTGAATAATTTGTCTATTTGAATCGTAGAATGGAAGGGAAAAAAAAATAAAAACATTGAATTAATCCCTAGAAATTCCCTAGAATTCATAATGTAGATTTCAATACACAATAAATAAGCACAAAAACGTTATCTATGTATCCATAGATCCTTAATTAGCTATTATTACAGTCAATATTTTATTCTAATCTATTTTTCGTAATTCAATAACTAGAGAGATTGAATCACTAGTAACTTTTTCGAATAAATATATTATTTCATCATTTTCTATTGAAAATTTTTAATTTAAATAAATAAATAAAATTTCATGTATTTATTTATTTTTATCAATATCGCGTTGAATAATTTGTCGACTCTATTTGAATCGTAGGAAAAAAAGAAAAACGAAACATTGAATTAATCCCTAGAAATTCTCTAGAATTCATAATGTAGATTTCAATCGCACAAAGACGTTATCATGTATCCATAGATCCTTAATTACCTATTACTATTCAATTATTACAGTCAATACTTTATTCTAATCTAAATTTTTCGTAATTCAATAACTAGAGAGATTGAATCACTAGTAACTTTTTCGAATAAATATATTATTTCATCATTTTCTACTGAAAATTCTTAATTTAAATAAGATTTCATTTATTATTATTATTTTTTTATCAATATAAATAATAATTGAAATTGAATAATTTATCTATTTGAATGAAAGGGAAAAAAAAGAAAAACATTGAATTAATCCCTAGAAATTCCCTAGAATTCATAATGTAAGTTTCAATCGCACAAAGACATTATGTATCCATAGATTTTTAATTAGCTATTACTATTCAATTATTACAATCAATACTTTATTCTAATCTATTTTTCGTAATTCAATAACTACAGAGATTGAATCACTAGTAACTTTTTCGAATAAATATATTATTTCATCAATTAATTTTTTACTGAAAATTCTTAATTTAAATAAGATTTCATTTATTATTATTATTTTTTTTATCAATGTCGCGTTGAATAATTTGTCTATTTGAATCGTAGACAGGGAAAAAAAAAAGAAAAACATTGAATTAATCCCTAGAAATTCCCTAGAATTCATAATGTAAATTTTAATCGTGCAAAAACGTTACGTCACAAGCAAGGTAATGGCATATTTTCGCTAAATTCCAGTTTCTACGTTCGATTTCTAAGGTGATTTTGAATCGTCGACACAATTACATTACGCGTGATTACGTGTTTCCGGCAGAAACGTGAGCCATCACATGCATAGATCGTGTATGGGACACATGTTTGCCGATGTACATGCGGTGCGTACGACAAACTGATTACACGTTTAATTAACATAATACAATGAGCTATTGCAAACAATACGTTTTGTTTACTCATTAATCGAGAATTTTTAGATTACGAGTATTTGTTTTGGAAAATTTAATTTTTAAATTTTGTCATAAAATAGTAAAATTATCAAAACAGTCGAGTTGAAAAAATTAATATTGATTTTTATACAAACGGAAACACAATCAAATGTTAAATTATATTTCTGTCTCAATTTCATTTTCGTAATATTATCCTGATTTTAATAATTTGCATATGCAATTTATTTGGACAGATACATTATAGACAGTTTATTACAATAAGAAACTAAAATTCTTAAAGAAGTTTTTTTTAACAAGATAAATAATACAATCGAGTTACTACAAATACCTAAATATATTTAGGTATAATAATATAATATATACCTATATACCTAAATATATATATAAAATATATACCTATATATATATAATATAATTAATATAATAATTAGCTAGGTATATAAATATATACCTAAATATATATACCTATATATATATATAAATGTATACCTAAATATATATACCTATACCTAAATATATACCTAAATATATTTTACATAGATCATTAATAAGAGTATTTTAAAAAATAAATAAATAACATATCTTCAAAATCAAAAAATCCCAAATCTTTTGTAATATCCGATAGCTCCATTATTAAATAAATTTGACATTATTAAAGACGAGACCTGAAAGATTTCAAGTATCCAATAAGATCCAACAAAGAATCAAATTACACTTTCTTCCATCCATCCTGCAGATCGTAATTTAAAACATATATCTCCCTATTATTTCACTAGATGGTCGCAAGTTTCACTACGCTCCAAGCAACGAAGTCAATTCTCCCTAGGGAATTCTCCGTCGTCCACTCCTGGCAACCAATCCAATCCATCTCTCAGGAACCGGCGCGGAATTACGAAACTCGAGCCTCCTTCCGCGATCCATGTGTAATAATCGGCCGATTCCCACAGCGCCAGGCCCAGTCGACGGCCGTTTAACGACCAGCCGACGTTCCATTATCGATTATGCTCGGTTATGTGCAAACACTCCCCCGCGATAACGCCGCGTGTCGAATCGGAAACACGGCTAAACACTCGCGATTTCCATGCGTGTGACACGGAGGGGGAGGGGGAGAGCGTCGTTCTGGAGGGATTGGGGCGAAGGAACGTTCGATGGAAGTGGGTTAGTCGAAGGACGTCGAGAGGAAATGGTGAACGATTCAGGAAAAAAAGGGGAATTCCGATCGATTTCGTTCGCTCGAATGAGGATGTGAACGAGAATCGTGAGACTTTTCGCGGTGAAAGTAAAAGTTGTGATGCGATTTCGAAATTTGTTATAACCTTTTTCTTGAATGGATAAACACAGATTTCGATTCAATTAAGGATTCGATTATTTGATTTTGTGCTAAAATTTAATTCATTTCGAGGAAATATTTTCATTTAATTTCAATTTTGATACAAAATGGATTCGCGTCCTTGTTTTTCAAAATTTTCAATATTCGTTTACATTTCATTCTCATCAAATCTTTCTAACTCATTGGATATAATTAACAAATATTTAAATGTTAATTACATAATAATTAATTATATAATTATTGTAAAATCAATTTCTTTTTTAAACTAGCTAAACTAATAAATAAAAAAATCTCTCAAATTCCACATAACAGAAAAAAAAAAAGGTTTACAAAACTTGATACGTTTCACGAAAACTTTTTACTTTTCAAAATCTTAAAAAAAAAAAAAAAATAAATAAATATCCTCGTTTGAAGAGGATACATATTCGCATATTCTAACCCTCGAAACAAGTAAACAAATCGATCCTATCGAACCAATAATCTGAATCTCCTCTGAAGAAAATTGATTAAAATTATCGGATATATCACTCACCTCGTGCGCCTGGTCCTCGATACTCCTGAGAACCGCAAGATTCCTTATAGTCGCGCGGCGGGACTCGAACGATGATTCGAGCCTGGTGGCTGCGTTCCCGACCTCCTCCACCAGCCTCCGTGCCCGTTTCACCGACAATCTGGAAAGATAAAAGGGAGGCGTCGTAATCGGTGACGCACCGTTAGGAATTCCCCCTGGTGGCTTGGCTTATCGCCAACGAAACATCGAACGCTAACCAGCGCCGCTCGTCCCTTCGGCACCGCGAGTGGGCGCTAAACACGACACAGACATTATCGTCTTCGTTATAAAACGTCCCTTCCCCGTCACACGGTTTCCATGTCCACGTGGAAATATGTAAGCATTCGCGTCCCGACAACCTCTTCTTCCGCTAAGTTCGCCGCTAAGACGAGGCGATGAGAATTCTTGGGGAAGAGACGTCGTTGAAAGGAACGGCGAGAAGTATATGGTATAAGGAGCTCGACGAGAGGTGAATTAATAGGCGAATATTTCGTGGAGAGATGCGTTTGATAATTAACAATCCGCCGCCTCGAGTCTTGCGGAAATCTAATGATTTTAATTCTTTCGAATTGGAAAATGTACAAATAATTAATGAAAATTGTTACGAAGATTGAAAAGTAATCGTATAAAAATAATGTACTTGTAATTTTGAAATAGAATGTAAAAGATATGATTTTAATTCTTTCGAATTGGGAAATGTACAAATAATTAATGAAAATTGTCACAGTTAGGAAGATTGGTTGAAAAGTAATCGTATAAAAATAATGTACTTGTAATTTTGAAATAGAATGTAAAAGATATTGTGTTGATGTACAAAATTTAATTACTTACTTATGAGTGATATAGTTTTAAAATAGTAAGTTATTTTATCAGAATGCAATTACGTTTTTTTTCAGTTTCTTTTGTACGTCAAAAAGAAAGGATATTCATTTTAGAATAGACAATGAAGCTAAAGAGAAAATTTTGGATTTGGAATAGATTGCAAGAATATTTTAGTGACTTTTGTTTTATATGTTTATTACTTTTCAATCAATTCGTCGTGTAAATTTTAATTTAACCTTTAAAGGATCTAATGTTTGCATAATAAATTAATAGATATAATAATAACAAAAGCACAAACACAAAAGTTGATGTACAAAAAAGTTGATTGAAACTTGTTTGTTAAATTATAATTTAAGTTTTAGATGAAGTGAAAGAAAGATAGAACTCTCTCGTTTCATTTAAATTTGTATATCGACTTTCATATTTTTGTTTTCTCTTGAATCGATCCTTCGAAAATATTCCACGAACATATTAACATTCTATGTAAATATGCTATATCTTACAAAAAGTTAGTATTAAAGTTGGAACCACTATAATCACTTTTCGATTATTTTAAATATTAAACTTAATGTAAAAAGCAAAATTATGAAATTTTAAAAAAAAATCTATTCGTACATCGTGTCGCGTACAAATATTATTAAAATTCATACACGATATTAGTACGAAAAATCAAAGGTTATACAATGTATGTATAACTCAAACAAATCAATTTATTGTCGTTCTGTTAAACGTACCCCACGTTTCGTCTTTGATCAATATTTCAAAAATCAACAAAGACGGTTCACGATTCTGTTTAGTTAGTTTAAAGACTATTTTAAGTCTCTATTACTCTCTAACCTAATGTAATCGAGATGAATAAGGGGTGCCGCGCGTTCCTCTAGAGAAGCGATCGCTTCCTCAGCATCTCGAGACGTTCTTCTCAATGAAGGATCCGTCAGGAGCCGACCGAGAGGCGTCAACGTGCCGGACAGGGTAGTGCATTCCTTCAGTTCTGACATTTCGAGGGCGAGCCTGCGACCAGCCGATTGCCATTCCGCCATTAATCCGTCGTAGTCCTGCAAGACAATATATTGAGTGCAACAGATGTAAAAATGAAAAGTATAAAAAGATCGATTAATTTTGATGGAATATTATTCATAATTTTCGAATACAAATATATATAATTTTCGTTTTATTTTCGTCTATTCTTACACACGAATTTGTATTTAATAAGTTACGTTCAATTGTAATGGAATTCTCGTAATATTAAATGGACGTGTTTGCCCTTGCTACGATCATTAAATTTTTAACATAAAAAGAAAATCATTGAAGGATCGAAACGAGAAGATATGTAATTAAGAAAGATACTTTCAGAATTAGAAAAATTGAAAAGGAAAAATAGCAGTACCAATAGTCAATTACTTATTGTAATAGATATGATCTATGACAAATTTCAGTCCTATAAAATCATTCATGTGCAAATTGCATGCTTTTATTCCTAAGCTAGTATTATAGAAATCATTTAATAGCATTCTTCTATATCCAAAGATTATTTACACGTACAATATCTGGAAAAAAAAAATTCACATTCACTGTGGTATGTTTAGTTAGTTGTATTATAATAATACAAGAGACAATGATATAATCAATTTACAAATAGAGAGTTACAGAAGTCAATCAATATAAATCATATTTTCTGAAAATTTCTACTCATAAGTGGCTAAACTATTCAAGTTACTTAATTGATTTGTCAATTGAAAGTTTCAACAATAAAAATATTATTGTACTATGTAAATCATTCTCAGAGAATATATTATGTATTATATATTATTGATTGGCTTCTGAATCTTTCTTTTACATAATTCTTAAACTATTATACGAATAAAATTATATTTGTTTATGAATTAAATTCAATAATCAAACATATTTAAATAAGACAATCTCGGTTTAAATTTGCAACATCGATCATTCATTCATAATTCTGTCATGATTCTTCTTAACTTTTTACACAATTACTCAAATTTCTCGAATCTTTGTCATTGTTCAAATAACTGTTAAGGTTGAAAAAGTTTAACAGATCTGGGATGATTTATCGTCAAAAGCAATTAGAAGAATCGATTAGAATGAAAAATTATTCGCTACAACCATTTATTATACCCACAAAACGTTTTAAAATTGATTTTGATTGTTCGTATATCCGACATTAAAAAAGATATTGATTCGTAATTAATTATCATGATATATGTAATAAATATCTGTTATTTGGAAATAAAAAAGGAGAAGAAAAAAAAAATATAATATATACGAGATATTAATTTAATAATCGGTTATCGATCAATGAATGAATACCAAATCATCATCTAATCAATCAATGGTCAAGTAATAATCTAACAACGAAATAATCAATCAATGATTAACTAATATAATATATTAATAATAATATAATAATATAATATAATAATATAATAATAATAATTAATAATAATAATAATATATAATATAATATAATATATAATAATTCAATATGTATATATATATATACATTTTTAATGCAAACTTAAATGAAAAATTAAAAATAAAATCTCATTTTACATCAATTTTTATCTTAAAATTGATTTTTAAAATTACTTTTCCAAACACTTAATATAACACCTTGAATATAATAATTCGTAATATATCGTTACGATTCTCGTCACTAGATGTCTCATTAACTTTCGCAATGATATATCCAGACATTTCTAGGAGCTGCCTTCTTTTCGCTTCCCGACAATGTTCAAGATAAAAAAAAAGTAAACGAAAGTTCTTAACACGAAAGACCCAATCCTCATTCGCTTTCCGATCACACTTCCAAACCATAAATTATTCCTCCGACCATTAATTCAAACGTGAACACGTGTTCTCTACTTATCAATCACTCCCATCATTCAATCCACGATCCCAGCCTCGTCTTTCTCATAATGACATTATGACAACCGTTCACCGTGGACGGATGGATCGTTCAGCATCGTGAAAGCTTTTACAGGATTTTAGAACGACAAGCACAACGACGACAAAGCTGTTATTCGACCACGCACGAGGGCCGCTCGTTCCCGAGATTCCTCGAGAAAGAGGAACGTGGAAGACGAGTCCTTACTTTCCTACGACGAAGAATCCTGCAGCTACGTTAGAGCGGCTATCTCGACGACGATCGCGGGTTCGACCGTTATTTATGAACATTTTCCACAGGCGAAATTTTCTCCTTGTAACGTTTCCCGATCGATTATCGTTCGCAAGGTCGCGAATAACCGTTGTGTCGAATCGGCGAAGACTCGGATCCGTGTCGCTTTATCGACACTCGCTTTACCGACCGATATAGAATTCGTTATTGCGCTATTTACAATGGCGGAGATAATACGCCACGATGTCGTTTAGCCCACGACATGTACATTGTACAATAATTTATAATTTGATCCATTATTGAATTAATGGATGATTTATATTGAATAATTATTGAATAAAATTGAGAAACGAACTAATTGTTTATATCTTTTGTTTATTATATTAATTATTGTATTTCGTTTAATAATATTTTCATACGACTATAAAAATTTGATGTTGACGAAAATTAAGTATGATAAAAAAAAAAAAAGAAAGAAAGGATTCATTGGAAAGTAAAAGTGTGCATGAATATTTTTTGCAGTGAAGAAGTTAAGAAGGATGAATAATCGTCTTATTTCGTTCCTTCTGATTTGAAACTTCAACGTACTAACGCAATTTTTTGATCCTAAATATCATATTATTATGCTAATTCAGAAAATATCCCTATATCCTTAATTGTAGATTATTACAATTCCCAAGAAACATTCACTTACCCATGAGATCGAACCCAAATCAGATACAAGAACCGTAATTATAATTAACCAAAATTGTGCTACTTAAAAAAAAAAAAAAAAAAAAACAGTTAATTGTACATCATACAATCATCAAAGAAATAACTCATAAAAACCGAATCCAAATTAAACATAATAACTACGTATAATCATACAAAATTGTTAATTCAAAAAATTATCGTACTATATACACTTGCCAAGAAAGCAGTTCGTCCATCAACCCCTCAAACAAAACGCGACAATCACGGTAACAGATACACATAATCGGTGAACAAACCAGAATTCGAAAATCGTATAATCTTCGTTTCACAATTTGCTAATCCTTCAATAATCCAGCCACCAATTACCTCGAATGAATGCTTTAATCCACGTCAATGATACACGAGGCATATATATATGCATTCGTCGCCAACGAGGAAAAAAAAAAAAAAAGAAAAAAGAGATTCCAAAAACCGTGACCGATCACGGTAGCAGGCGAAGACGCGTCTCTCTTTTTTCCCTGCCCCTCCACCCTTTAACGGGACCCATTAAAACGTCATTAAGCGGTTTGGCCGTGGGTTGAGAGCCACGGATAAATTGGTAACATCGGTCAGTGCCACCGGGATAAATTCCTCGACAATAATTGCGCCGCGGCTCACGAGGGACCCGATACAATTATTCCGCTCACGATCGCCCAACCATTTTTCATCCAACCTGCCGAATCACTGTCGTGATTCAGTCAACCGGCCCGGCGAAATTCGTGTCCCGATTTAGTGATGGGATCGAGTATCTCGCGATACTAGAACACTCGAGCATTGTTCAAATTCTTCTTCGCGTTTAAATTTTCTTGTGTACAATTTTACGACTTGCAATTACTATTATCATACATTGTTCATCCATAGCTAGTAATGGTAATTCAATGGTATAAATATAATTTTGAAAATAATAAAAAAAAATTTAAATAAATATTAAAATAAAATAATAAATATAATATAATATAATAAATAAATATTAAAATAAAATAAATATTATTAATAAAAATTTAAATAAATATAATAAAAAATAATAAAATATATATATAAATAATATATATATAATAAATAAAAAAATAATAAAATATTTAAATAATTTTGAAAATAATAAAAAAAAGAGAGAAAAAGAAACGATACCTTCGAATATTCGAATATTTCGTCAAAATCGAAATTTTTGCCAATCGAATGAACGCGTGATGTTATCGAGAACGAAAAGAATGTTTTACATTTGATTTAAATTTATGAGTACGTATTGAATTTGATTCCATCGCTAGTCCCCCTCCATCTCTTTTTTCCCCCTCGTTCTCTCATATGATGGGACACACTGTCGAGGCGTGATCATTTTCGGAAGCAATTTGTCGCGAATCTCGATTCAGACGGATGAGCTTGCCCCGACTTGGCTGTCACTCGCTCAACTGCTTGCTTGTTAGGGTGCTTAAACTCGAAGGTGAGGGTTTGGAGGGAGAGTGGTTTGGGTGGAAGGAGATCGAATATACCGGAGAATCACTTTTTCTCTTTGCTTTGTGAGATGTCAGGGAATCTTGTTGTAGAGAAGAGTTAGTAGGATAACATAATTTGTCAATATTGCCCTTAAGCTTCTTTTTTTCTTGGTTAAAACGTGATAAAAGGATAGTGATTTGAAGAATCGAGGAATGTATCTTTTCAGCTTTTAAACGTTGAGATACAAAAGTTATTTATTTGATATGAAATATATAAATAAATAATAATAATAATATTTTATTGTTTTATTTATTATTATTATTTTATTATTTTTTTAATTCATTTAAAGCTTGTACTGTTTAAGACTAATAAATTATTTTTTCTTACGCAAAATTTTTACTCGATTCATGAAATCTTTGTTGGTTATTAAATCTATTGCGATACTTTATTTATGATAATACGTCATATTTCTACACGACACATTCTTGAATGGAAATGAATATACATTTAATATATAAAATTCATGATAAAAAATTACATGATTGAATATTTCTTAAACGATTGATTTTAAGATGAATTAAGCATATCGCAATAAAAGATTGTCGATAATATATTATATATCAGTAACATAATAAAAATGTAAAACATGGTTATAATAAAATTAACGCGTCATTAATAATACACCAATCAAGAGAAGAATTTAAAAGAAAAATTTTACTATCAATCATTTTAACTACTTTCGATTCTATGATTGAAATGAAAATTGTTGCCGAAATAAGATGGCTTTTAAATTTTTCATGTAGTTTATTATTTGGTGAGATATTCCATCAAAAATTTGAATATAAATATTCATTTAAGAAATCAAAAGAAATTTCTTTTGAAAAATTTTTAACTGAAGAATTTTACAAGATAATGAAGATTCTCATAAATTTAGTTTTTATTAAAAAAACTATGGATTTCTATAAAAATTCAAACTGAAAGTAATAAAAAAAACATTAGAGTAATTCTATGGATAAAAATATTGAAAATTATAATCTATAATTGTCACTTTGAAAGATAAATGATGATAATGAAAAATTCAATTCAACTCAACTCAAAGTTTTTATTAAACATAGAACCAATCGAATGAAATTCAATTTAAATAAATTTCCAATTCATCCCTTCGTCTCTATTTCAAGAAGAAATATCAAAGCTTTCAAAATATTAAATTATCGATAACTAAAGAAAATCTATATATATAAATATTAACAATTGTATTCACATAGAAATATTATCTCCTAAAGTATTACACTCTTATATAACTATATGATACAATATTTTTCTGATATAATAAAATTTATATATATTTCATGATTTGAGTATTTTTGTTCTAAATATTTCATCTTATAAAAAAGAGCATTACATTACATTTCCTATTTTTTTATATGCAAATGGTCAACGAAAGAGTATAACAATCAAAGAAAGAGAATAGAAAGTGAATAAAATGATGGTTTCTAGTTTACCTTATAAAACGCAATCCATTGCGTCTGGTCGTGGCTCCGCTCCAGCCTGGGTATATGTTCTCTCAAAGCGCCCTCATCAACGATAGTCGTCTGAAAGCAAAATCGAAAAAAACGCTTTTAACCGTCGGACAAGAGAAACGATTCTTACAAATGTGTCTTCGAAAATCGTGCTCGAGAAGAAACGATTTCTTTTATTCTCGTCGAGGATATCGAAACGAGATGTGAGTGACCAATAGAAGTACGAGAAATAATGTATGGAATCGAGCAAACAATAATCGCGTTTGACGATGGAAAGGGGCACACTGAAGGCGATTGCTCAATCCTTTCACCGTGAAAGACACGTGTGCATGCTTAAGTACATGGAGACCATGTACTTCATTGTCCATTGGCGTATTAATGTTTCTATCGTAATTAATTTGGATCATAAATTGGGGATGTTAATGCATTCTTCGCATCTAAACGAATAGAAATATCTTGATAATATCGTATTGGCCATTATATGCGAATTATTGTAAATCAATTATTTTTATTGATGTTTAACTGTGTGAAAATTTATTCTCTTTTATTATATTGTTTTTTTTTAATAAAATTTTATCACCAATAATTGACAATAAAATAGATCGTTTAAACTTTATTATTATTTAATTTATTCATTCATTTCGATTAGATTAAATTTTATTATTCAATTATCAATAAATAAAAAAAATTAAAAATTAAATCAGAAAGGAAGAAATAAATAATTATCTATAATTTTTTCTAACTAAGAAAATATAATTAAAAATATATATATAACAAAATCCAAATATATTATAATAAAATCAATATAAGAATCAAATTGATCTTGCTCACCTTGACGCAGCTCAAAGGTAACTGCGAGTTGATCGAGCCCTCGGCGACAGAACTGTGCACAAGTAACGCTTGAGAAACGTTCGCTCGTCCCTGCAAAACGACAATCATCCCCTTCGTGTGTCATTATCCAATTTACTCTTGCCCCAACATCTTGCCATAACTCTTGCAAAAAGGGGCGTACGTAACGTAAAATATACAACAAAATTCCCCCTTACCTGGACGAGTTTCAGAACCCTGTCGAGAAATTCCAGGCATTCGGGAGCGTGCCCTCGAACCAGAAGGGTGAATCCATTCTTGGCAACGTCGGAGCTGGAATCAGAAGAAGAGGAAGAAATATAATGGAAATATAAAGAAATATAACCGTGTCGCGGTGAGATGAATTATCGAGGCATTCCGTGCATACGCGTGAGTCATCGTGATACAACGGTAGCTTGACAAGATCTCCCACGTGAGGCGGCGTGTCGTCGCGATTTCTCCTTCGAGAGTCATGCTCCGAGAGTGAAACGAGTCATTCGTCGTGTCGACACGTTCGCGCGCCGATTATAACCGCCTCGAGGATACGACCTGATCCGACCGCGGGACGCTTGATCGTTTCACTTTGACCTTCGAGCCGGGTAATTGAATAATTTATATCTCTTTTCGAGTGTTTCTTCCTTACTTGACGCGTCGCGGTCTATTTACGGTGTACGTGATTATGATAATTGTGTGTGTGTGTGTGTGTGTGTGTGTGTGTGTGAAAAATGAGGATTTAAAAATCAATTGGAGTAAGTCGATAAGTATTAAAAATTTTTTAAATTTTTAAAAGTAAAAATCTTCAATGATTATTTGGAATAAAAATGTTTGATTTTTAAGACTCTCAAGTATATTGATGTATTGTAAACTATTATGAATTGTGCATATAACTTATTTAATCTTGCTTCAAGTTGTAATGGATTAAGTTAAATATTCCTTTAATTCAGCCTCATTGTCATCCAACTAATTATTTTGTAACTCAAAGATAGAATAAATGAAACATTCTTCTAAACTTAATCTAACTTAAACTTAATTAATAATTCCATTCTTCGTTATTTGATTAGCTATTTAACTATATATTTTAAAAGTTTGAATGAGTATATAATACGTTTCAATTAAAAATCCCTCTTCGATTAAAGAACTACTTGAATCACCCTAACTTTCCATTCTAAAATTCTAATTACTCCTTAAAATCCTAAAAAAAAAAATTTTATTTGGTTGAGATATTCCATCAAAAATTTGAATATAAATATTCACTTAAGAAATCAAAAGAAATTTCTTTTGAAAAATTTTTAACTGAAGAATTTTACAAGATAATGAAGATTCTAGTAGAAAACAAACATTTCCTATGCACACTTTTCGACATCTTCCCACGAAAGTAAATTTAGAGCAGGCCTATAATTAACCCGTTCCCCCGCGATTTTTATCCCTATCGTATACGCATGCGTACTTGAGAAGGGAGCAACGTTTCACTCGAGGATTATATTAGAGTATCGAATGAAGGAAAAGCGTGTCACGATCCTGCATTAAGCTGTGACACGTGGGTGGTTCGCGTAAGTACGTAGCGTTTCTCACGCGGCTCCAGTGGCCTCCCCCCTCCCCCCTCCCTCGTTCCTCGACCCCTTTTCGCGCAATCGTGCATCCACTTCGAACCGGCCTTCACAATACCGTTCTTTGTACGCAGTGGCCGCTTTAATCCGCCTCGAATCGCGCCCCTATTCTCTTCAAACGAAAATCGTTCAAGACGATCTATCTTTATTCCATTCTCCTTGATAGAGGGAACGAGCCAGAGGAAAAATTGACTCGGCCAGACGGTATTCAGAACGCCATTGTTGCATTCAGATTAGTCAGACGATAATTAATTCCTTTTTTTTTTTTTCGAGCATAGAGTTTGATAGAAACGAAATTTATAAATTGATCTTTCACGTTAGAAACGAAAAAGGTTTCGCGTTGTGGGATCTTGAAATGTGTGTATATATATGTATATAATATATGTATAATATAATATATAATATATGTATATAAGCTTCGATGTATTTGCTTTTTTGCAAAAGCTGGACGAAGATTATAATATCATAATAAGAAAGATATCGATACATCTTTTTTGCATATTGGAAAAATGGAAAAGTCAAAAGGAGACTTCCAATCTCGTCAAATTTCGCTTTTGTCTTCTCTGACCGCTCGAATCGATTTGCAGTTTTACTCAGCTGTTTCTAACCAGCAATATCTAAACGTGGATACGTTTAGAATGCATGAGTTTCTTTCACGCGGGCAATGGCAGACAGTTACAATCGAATTGTAAATCCACGCGTGTCATCCATGACTCGTTTCGGCCGACGGACGGTCTTAGGGGTTAATTGAGAGCGACTCCTATAAGCGCGGCGCAACGCTTTCTATGGAAAGCGCAGCGAGGAATGCGTAAATGCGTTTCTTCGATGTTCAATCTTTTCTCGTATCGGTCCGGGAGATGGAATGCGTTAAATTCCTCCTTACTTCCGCGGTTTCCCCAAGGAGGATTCCTTCCACTCGAAAGGGTAGTTACGCCTGTTGGACAGTTGACATTTGTTTGCGGTGGGCCCGAGTTATGGATCGTAAAACGTTGTTCGAGGCAGATAGAGCTACCTTGATCCGTCTTACGAGGTATCGATCGAAGGCTGACGTCTTCGCGTCCCTTTTTATAGGAAACGTAAATTTTAGCTGAAATTACGGTTTTCTCGGCGAGCGAGCACGCGAATAAAATTGCCTTTTAACTGACGTGTATATTACCCCGCGCCGGTATTCTATCGTCCCATCCACCTTGACACTATTACTTATACCATCCAATTAGACTCTCTCGGTGTCCCTTCGCGCGATCACGAATGTGGCCGGGGAAAAATCGGCCGGCTTATCGAATCGATCGACGGCCCGGGGAAACGCGTGACTAACTGTTCCGTGACGCTGTGAACGTATCATTACCGTGCATGAAAACGGCTCGTAAATTCAATAAATACGGATACGAAGCGGCGGAACAAGATGAAGCGGATCTGCTACGATAGCCATCGGACCAGTCCTCTTCGCTTTCCATCTCTTCGGTGAATCTTCCAGGAATCTTGAGAAACTGTATTTTTATTACTATTTTCTTCGACTTATTATTCGAAAGTTGGTTAGATTTAATGTTTGCTGAGTGGTTTACATCTCAATGAAACATCGTACATAGAGGTTATGAAATTATTGAGATTATTGATATAACCTCTTGTTTGTTTCGATCTATTTTAATCTGTTCAAACTATTTAATTTTATCACCTAGCTTTATGAGTTTAATTTTTATAAAAAGAAGTGTTAATTGCAAGATGTTTCAATTTTTATTAAGTTTATTAATATAGTTATTTTATTTATAGACCATATAGAGAATTTATCCAAGATTATTTTAAAGATGTTAACAAATGATCGAAAGAAGAGAAAGAAATGTACGAATATGATTAAATTAAATTCAAAAATATTTAAAACAGGTATGTATCATCTCATGATATTCGTAATTTGGTATTGTTTATTATTATATTATATATATATTATTATATTTTATTATATTTATTATATTATATTTATTTATATTATATTTTATTATTATATTAATATATTATATATTATTATACATCTTAGACATCTTATCATCACATAGAACACAACAGATTTCCTTCGACATTTCCTACGAATCTTCTGATTAATATGTACTATAGGAACAATTGAAGGAAGTACGACACCTGTTATACAGATGCATATTTCTCAGATTGACGAAACGGAAATGAAACTTATAATTACTATGGAATGTATAATGTAAACAGGTCATCTTCCAGAGAAATTTGCCATCGACGATAGGACAATGGGTTTATTAGCATGGAAAGAAATACTGCCATGAATTATTATTGAATAGTTTTGTTGGAATTATCATCATTTATTCTACTTTAATCTATTTTTTTTTTTTTTCTATTTTTCCACACATGAAGAAAAATTATAGAAAGTGAAAGTAAAATTCAATCAACGATTACTGACACTAATATTTCAATGAATATGAGTCGACTAATATTTCAATGAATATGAGTGAATATGAATCCATGGTATATATTATAAATGGTTCTTTGAGATGGAGAAATTATAAGTTGTTAAACAGCCATCAAATATCCGTTCAATATTTTAATAACGTATGATAACTGTTTAAATTAAATTATTAAAAGTCTACACATTAAATTTAAATCCAATATATGTTTCAGTGAAGGTAAAATATTCCATTAGTAAATGATGCTGCGCACTTCGATATTAATTTCACTTCCATATATGCAGTACATGGACTTCCATTAACCACGATTATGGTCTTGACCAAGGTAACGATAAAAATTATGAATAATTTATTAGTATAAATTTATTAACAAAGTAAAAAATAAATCTTTTCTAGTATTTTCTATTTTCTTCTAAGTAAAAATTCGATATTTGACTCTATATTTTCTTTATTAAATTAACACGTGCGTATATATACAAGGTATTATTATATTTGATCACAAAAGTTACAAAAGTCGATTAAGATTTATTTATTTAATAAATTATTGAAGATTGAAATTTATGAAAACAATCTTGCAATCACTTTATAGTAGCAATAATCATCCCAATTTTCCAACAAATGTAATAAAATCTAGAATATTTAACTGCTGATGTATATCTGATTATTAATTGTATTATTAATTGTTATAAAGTAACTCTTATCCAATTCTGCTTTAATTGATCACCATAAAGAGAGATGTTTGTAATAATTATTATTACAACTGTATGTATGTTAATTTAAATATTCCATTTTTTTTTTTATTTTTTTATTATTTTATACACAAGTAAAAAATATTATACGTAGAGAAAGCGTACGGTATATTTTATTATTGTTAAGATTTTCAGTTACATGATTTTATGACACGGTCAATACAATTGCTATTATGTAAGAAAGGACTAGGATTTCTGCCATCTGGATGCCAATACTCGGATGGTACGTGACTTAGGCATCATTTTCGAATTAGACAATGCAGCGTAGTCTTTTGGTATTTTTTCCTATTTCAATAGCAAAAATCCTGTCGTAAATCTCAAAGTTCCTAGAAGGTCGAATGCTGTTGCTGAATGACCTCGCGTTCAACTCGTACATCCTTTACAACGAAAGACCTCTATCCCTTCAGGAATTGAATATACCGAGAGTGTAATGGAGGAAGAGACACGTGATTTAAAAAAAAAACCTTACAGTTTAAGAAATGAAATCATAATTTTGTATCAAAACAAGCACACAT